GAGAGATGAGGAAGTACTGGGGAATGAAACTGAGTTATATTGTTATATGAATGTATAAAATATGTTACAAATATGTAACAGTGAGTTCTACTATTATATGTAATTATAATGTACCAATAAAAAATTAAAAAAATTAAACTCATATTCTGATTTCTCTTAAATAACTCTTAAATAAAAATGCTGTTACAGGATTAAATTTTTGTCAGTTGAAAAAAAGATAGGCAGATAATTAATTGTACGTGATGATATTTCATATTCTGTTCTTCAGAGAAATGTTAATTCCTGTTTTCTTTTTCTACTTAGGCCAATTTGCGTCAGAAAATTACTCACTCAGTACAAACTGATCTTAGTCACATGAGAAGAGAAAATTGCTCACAGGTGTACCCTCTCAAAGATGCTAGCACCCAGTCGAATAGGGAGGGCAGCACTGGAGTACCCAAGCCTCAGATTTACATAGCTGGTCTTCGAGGGGGACGAAGCAAAACTACCCATGCAGTCAAGGTGAACCTAACAAGAGCTGTTGATGAAACCTAGAGGAAGATCACATTTTTGAAAATGTTACCCAATTATGAACAATGACAAATACCTAAAAGTATTTTTACCTCCATGAAAATTAATTTTGCAGAAGGTAGCACATGCTATTGCTACAACAAACTAGAAGTTATTTTCTGTAACACCTTTTCATTGTATTAAAGTTGGGAAGTCAAATTCTGTCCTTTTGTCTTTGTTTTATCTTTTAGAAAAAGTTTGGCAGCGCAAAGATTGAAATTATGCCATTTAGATAATAATAATATAAGATAATGTCACTAGAAGTGGAGACTATTTATTTCTAAAGTTGCATTTAATGTAAAACATTAAAATTTTAAAACCCAATCAATATTTTCAGTTTTACTAGCTATGTAATGATAGCATAGATTAAATTGCTGTATAATAAAATCTTACTGTTTGGAACAATTACAGCAAAGGTCTGCAAGATGACTCTTTGGTTTTTGGTACTGGGGATTGAATCCAGAGACAGTTTACCACTGAGCTAAATCTCCTGTCCTTTTTATTTATTTTTTATTTGATATGGGGTCTTGCTAAGTTGATGAGGGTCTCCCAAGTTGCCAAGGCTGACCTGCAACTTGCTTTTGCCTCAGCTTCCTGAAATTATAGGCCTGTGCCACCACCTGGGTAACATAATCACTCTTAAAACCTGGAAATTTTACCTGAAATCTGGATTTCTGGATCTTTGAAAAAAAAAATAGAATGTCTGAGAACACTTGACTAGCATTTCTCTAAATAGTAGCTTTGACTTTTCACTGAGCACGACACTTGTAATTCTCCACTATCTAATTCAATTCTCGGAGCCTTACAGGCCTATTCCATTCCTCTGTTTGCCCATTCCTGTAGGCAGGTATGTTGAGGGCCCCAGTGAATTACTGATGATCAAATTTATATATAAATATATATTAACATAATTATATGTATATAACAAGTTATGTATATGCATATATAAAAATATTTATTTTGTGGTACTGGGGATTTAACCTAGAGGGGATTTACCACTTAGCTATACCCCCAACCTTTTTTTTTTCCATTTTGAGAAAGGGTCTTGCTAAGTTGCAGAGGCTAGCCTTAAATTTATGGTCCTCCTGCCTCAGCCTTCCGTGTGACTGGAATTGCAGGTGTATGCCACACTTTTGGCTCTGATAGCTAAATTTAAGATCTGTAATTTTACTACTCCTTACATAATTCTAATTCCAACTCATGGATAAGAAAGGTTCTAGATGGAGGGCCTGTTAAGTTGCTTTAATAGGTTAATAGTTAGCATATTTTTTTTTTGCATAAGTGATTTTACTAAGGCATTTGTATAATTGTTTTCTATTTAGGCTAAAGTTATTTATAACATGGATATTCTTTGAAATCCACTTTCAACAGAGATTATAACAAAGAACTTCAAACATACCTACTTGTAAACTGTCATGATTTTCATAACATTAAAAATGTTAAAGTAGGTTGGCTTGCTAACTGTTAAGGCAAATCCTTGAGGGGAGGGAAAGATAGGGTGATTGTAGCTATTATTAATCTTAAAAATTAAAGGGTGATTGTAGCTATTATTAATCTTAAAAATTAAAAATTTGATTCTTGTCTGTTCAGTTTGCCCTCGTTTGGTTCTTCAAGATTTTAAAACACAGCCAGGCACAGTGGCACATGTCTGTAATCCCAGCAACTTGGGAGGCTGAAGCAGGAGGATTACAAGTTTGAAGCCAGTTTCAGCATCTTAGACCCTATCTCAAAATAAAATTTAAAAGAACTAGCCGGTGTGGTGGTACATGCTCGTAATCCCAGTGGTTCAAGAGGCTGAGATAGGAGGATCGTGAGTTCAAAGCCAGCCTCAGTAATTTAGTGAGGCCCTAAGCAATCCAGCAAGACCCTGTCTCTTAAATAAAATACAAAATAGGGCTGGGGATGTGGCTCAGTGGTTGACTGCCCCTGGGTTGAATCCCTGGTACCAGGAGAAAAAAATAAATAAATAAACACAGAAAAAGAATGGTTGGGGTTATTTTAGGACTGGAATTAGAATGGTCAAATTAACAAATCCTATTTGAAAAGCCAGCCTTAGTATCAGAAAGTCACTTCGTATATGTAAGAACCAGAATAAAGGGAGCTAGATCAGATTGTAAATGCATCCTCTCCCAGGACCTCCACTGTCTATTCACTCTAAAGATTTCCAGCCCTATGTTGGACAATGTCAGATTGTTACGGTCATAACAGCATGTCACAGACTGAAATGATTCTCTTTGCCAAATTTCTTTCTTCCTCTTTATTTACTTCTATGATCAAAGGCATCACTCTCTACTCACTAGCATACATTAAAAACTTCTTGATTCTCTTTCTCTCACATTCCCTATGTTTAACTAGTCATTAAGCCATGTTAATTTGGCTTGAGATGTCTTTAAATTTCATGTATTATAACCACTGCTATAGTTCAGGACATTTTCCTATTTTCTAGGTCACTGCTGCCTCTATTGCTTATATGATTCATTAGGGTAATACATATATTTAACACATAAATCTGATGATGACACCTGGCCTCTTCCCCTCAACCTTCACCTCATTTACTTAAAAACCTATGAAGACTCTTGTCCATTACCTAGGAGATAAAGTATAAACTGCTTCCCATATTTTATAAAACTTTTCAAAATATGCTTTCCATTATCTTCTAGTTTCATCTTCTGCTCCTCTCATACTTTCTGCACATGCCAAGTTGATCCAAAACTCTTCAAATAGGTCATAGTCTTTAATGCCACCACTCTTACACTTCCTCTTCACTCTATCACCTGGAATGTACTCCATAGTCACCATGAAATTTTGTTTGCCATCAATAGCCTGATAAGATTTTTCCTTTCATAGTTAGGTTTTTCCCCATATACTGTGAAAAAATTAATTGCTTCCTTCTTTGGATTTTCATTGGATTTTATTCCTATTATTACCGTAGCCCTTAAAATAAATTAGTGTATAATTTGGTGCTCATCTATATTGTTTCTGTTAGATTGTGAATTTCTTGAGATTTGAACTATTTTAGTCATCTTTATGTCTTTGGCATTTGTATAGTATCTTGTTGAATGAATGATTTTTAAAAAGAATGAATAAAGGGACAAACTAGAACAGGGTTTTGATTAATTATTTTAATATTCAAAAGCAGGAGTTGATAAGGAGTAAGTAATAAAGTAAATATTACAAAAGGGAGTAAAAGAGAGGAAGAGGAGATTATTTTGGGGGGAAACTTTGGGAAATCAAAAGGAATAGAATTGGTATACTTTTTGCAGGACTTTGAGAAAGTTATGTTTGCCTTCTTGTAGTAGGACATTAGGAAACCACTGTAGATTCTTGAACAGCAGACTAATTGTGGGAGAGTGATACTCGAATTGGTGAGGGTTGCTTGGAAGCTATTGTAAGAATTGGGACATGCAGTAATATATGATGTAAAGGGACAAATGTTACATTTAATTAAGGGGACATAACATCTCAAGAAAGGGAAGGAAAAAATCAATTATCTCAAGGTTTCTGCCCTTGGATACCAATGATAATTGAGAGAAGCACTTGATCAAAAAAGATAAAAATATTCAATACTTAAACATTTGAGTTTAAAGGATCATGAGAATAGTATATAATGAAAGATATTTGGGGCAGACAAAGATAATTTTTGAATATATCCTCATAGGAATGGGAGGGAATGAGGTGGAAGAGGAGACAGAATACGATGTGTACCAACCAAGAGAGTAAGAAATATATATTAGGAATCTCTGTGGTCACAAAAAAGGGTCTAGCTCTATTTACTAGATGTGTTACTTAATGTCTCTTTGCCACAGTTTCTAGTTTCTTCGGTATAAATGAGGATAGTAATAGTATCTAACTCATTCCGTTGTCAGGAGAATTAATAAATGAGTTAATACATGTGAAACACTTAAGAAGTAAATGCTTTGTCAACTTAGTCAAGGGAGAAGAGAATCTCCAGCATTAATTTCTACTGTACCCCCTGTCTGAGTCAGAGTTCTCCAAAGGAACAGAACCAATAAAATGAATATGTTTATATAGAATGAATAATAGAATGAATGAGTGTGTGTGTGTGTGTGTGTGTGTGTGTGTGTGTGTGTGTGTGTATGATTGGTTTACACTATTGGAGGCTGAATAGTCCCACAATGATTGCATATTGGAGAGCCAGAGAAACCAGTAGCTGCTCAGTCCAATAAACTGGAAGCCCCAGAACAAGAGGGACCATTAATGTAGCCACAATTCAAGGTCAAAGGCCTGGAAATTCTCTGAAGAATTGCTGGTGAGCGTCCACATGGAAAGACTGAAGAAACTGAAGTCTGATATCCATGTGTGATGACAGCAGCAATAGAAAAACCACCTACATGTGCTGGTGGGCTTCCTCCTTCTTCGTGTTTTGTTCTATCCATTCCCTCAGCCTACTGGACAGTGCTACCCACATTTCAAGGGTGGTAGCCATTCCCCTAGTTTGTTGTTCCACGTGGCACTCAGCTCTGGAAACTCTCACAGATGCACCCCAAAATGTGCTTTACTCATTTCCTAGTCATTTTTCAATCCAATCAGGTTGACAATAAAAAATTAACCATCATACCCCCTTCTTCTTTCACTTTTTGTTTTATAGCTCTCAATTAGTACCTGGCACATTATGCTTGGCACATTATGAATTTCAATAAATTAATTTCAGTAACCAAAAGAGAATGAAGAATTAGAAAAGCTTGATAGGGTAGGCAACTGTTGAGATCCTTTTTAAGAGCTGGCTAGAGTAAAAGTAAGATTTCAGCAAGTTAAACAGAAAATGGTAGAAGTAGGTACAGATTACATATCAGTGACTGTTGAGCAGGAAAAGAAAAATAAGATTAATGATAAAAGAGGAAGCAGAAGCGAGTTAAACTCAAATAAGAAATGTTTGAATATCAATAATTATTATTCATGTTTAACTCCCATATTCTGGTCACTGGATTTTACATTACCTCCTGTATCTTTTAATTTTTATCAACTATAAAATACAACATTTTTTTTTAAAGAGAGAGTGAGAGAGGAGAGAGAGAGAGAGAGAATTTTTTTTTAATATTTATTTTTCAGTTCTCGGCAGACACAACATCTTTGTTGGTATGTGGTGCTGAGGATCGAACCCGGGCCGCACACATGCCAGGCGAGCACGCTACCGCTTGAGCC